GAGAGAGAACATTTGACTTTGGTTAATGACCTGACGCACCCCCTGGCGCGAGAGAGAGGGATGGAAAGAAGAGAGTAGCAAAGAGAACGGGAAAGTGAGGGAGGAAGAGATGGCGAGAGGGACAGGGCCGAGAGAGATCCAGTTGGATAGTACTCTCTCTGCAGGCCATTATCTTCTCTTCTTGGAGGCACTCCCGGCCAGACTCCCAAGTTTCGCCTTAGAAGATTATAGAAAAGAAAACAAAACGACGACGACGTGATGCTACTAAATCCTTTTGAGCGCTTCTTTTTTTATCATGTACCTTTCTTTTTCCTCCCCCCCTGTTTGTGTGCTGCTATGCTGTGGTCTCTTCACGTCTGGAGCTCGTCCCGTCACTCGGTTGCGATCATCTCTTCTTTTTTTTTTTTCCCCGTAAATTGCAATCTCCATTCTATTGGTGGGGATGTTGCCACATCGGTTGCTCCGCTCCTCTTTTATATTTTTGTGCGTGCTGTTGTTTGTTGACGTCAACACCAAATGCTAATCAGCTCTGATCTGAATCAAGTCAGGTTGTTTTGTCGCTTCCGCTCGGCAGAACAACTTTCTTCCACTCATCAATTGATGGATGGATTGATTTTTTTAGTCGGTGAGAAAGGCATGAACTAATTAACAGGAGAGCTGATTAGCATTATTGGGTGTTGGCGTCAACATCGCCGGCACGCACCGAAAAATATGAAAGAGGAGGTTTCTGTTTCTTCATGCCCACGGCCACAAAAGTTGATTTTACAGTAATTCTCTGTTTCGTGCTGGTCGACTGGAGCCGTCGAAAGTTGTTGACATGATATAATTGGTAGCTTGAATTATTAGTTAATTAATCGGAATCGGTGTTCTTTTTTTTCTACAACAACAACAACTTAACTATAGTCCTGGGATAATTTGTTCGGGCGTAGCCGCACTGGCTTTACATGCAGTACTCTCTCTCTCCCTCTCCACTCTTCCTCCTGAGAGATGCCGCTGAAGAGTCCGATCACATAGGCGCTCCTCGGCTCGGCCAGCAGCAGGTAATTATTCGCCCTCACTGCTGCTCTCGTCTCCTGACCTACCCTGACCTATGATGTGTCCACCTGTCAACTCTCCTACTGGCCTACATAATCTAGCGTACTCGATAATATTTTTTTTTTCTCTTCCTCTCCGCTCTTTCTCTCGCCAGATGCCGCGGAAGAGTGCGATCACATAGGCGCTCCTCGGCGAACACCAGGGGTAATTATTTGCCAGTACGCACTGCTGCTCTCATCTCCTGATCTACCCTGACCTACGATGTGTCCACCTGTCAACTCTCCTACTGGCCTACATACTCTAGCCTACATACTCTAGCATACTCTAGTACTTTTTTTTGAATCTCTCTCCCTCTCCACTCTTCCTCTCGCCAGATGCCGCTGAAGAGTCCGATCAGATAGGTGCTCCTCGGCCAACACCAGGTACAGGTCCCGCTGCTGCTCTCATCTCCTGACGTACCCTGAACGCCACCTGTGCTACTCTCCTACTGGCCTACACACTCTAGCCTTCCTTCTCCACTCTTCCTCTCGCCAGATGCCGCTGAAGAGTGATCACATAGGCGCTCCTTGGCCAACACCAGGGGTAATTATTCGCCAGTACCCACTGCTGCTTTCGTCTCCTGACCTACCCTGACCACCCGCCTCCTCTCCCTGCTCTGCACCTGCCAACCCAGCCACCCACTGGCAGCCACCGCACTGCTGCTGTCTTCTGCCGCAGGCAATTTCCCTGCAGTCTGCGAGCACTCAAGCATGGTGCCACGGGCCGTCCAATGTGCTCTTCCCTCCCCTTGTCGCTTTGCCTTGTCTGGCTGGAGCCCCAACTGCCTTCCGCTATGGACTGCTTACCAGCCCGGTCGCTACCGGGTCCGGCAGGGCTGATCTGCGCCCCGAGGGTGGGCTTCCAGACTAACTAGATAGCTGCCAGGGCCACAGGCGGCCGTCCCTTAGGGCCACCTCTCCTGACTGCAGCCTCTCCATTCCTTTTCTTCGTATTAATAAAGTATTTTGCTTGAAGATCGACGCGTTACCAATAATACTCAAGATAGTGAACATTGCTTTGTTTCCGACGACAGAAGGCCGTCCTCACTAAAACAGCAGCAGCAAAGCAGGAGTGTGTCATCATGTTTTGAACAACAAGTGCAATATTCGCTTGCCTGGCAAGGTCGACCTGTTCTTCACTCAGGTCGTGCTTAGAAATCCTCGAGAGGGAAAGAGTTGAGGTAACCACTCCGAGGAGGGCAATCCTAGAGTGATTCACTGCTGCCAATCCCTTCGTCGATTGTTGCTGTCTTTTGTTGAAGAAAATATGCCATGGATATGCATTGTTTTCTGATTCTGGGTCGTACTACTGTTGATGTGTTTCAGTTTCAGTTTCAGGTGGCAGATGATGAAACCTGAACAAGTGCCCCTGCTCTCCTGGAGCTATCCGGTACACGAATCTGACTGATGCTGCTTGTGGGGGAGCGCCGCATCCACACATTTTAATTTGTATATCCGCTTTCGGGTTGTATTCTTTGTACAAATCCTATGACGAAGTTGTGTGTGGCAAGTGGGGACCACACCGTCACTCATTTATTTCTTTTGTATCACGTTAGATTCAAGTTTTCAGACTTATGTGTGATAGCGGAAACATTGTCAAGTTAGCCTGGGAGGGACTTGAGAAATTGCGACGGGAAACATTCTGGGGTGTCTGGGGTGGTAAGGGGGGTGGGGAGACGGGGGGGGGGGGGGGGGGGGGGGGGGGGGGGGNGGGGGGGGGGGGGGGGGGGGGGGGGGGGAGTAGGGGGATTGAGTGAAGTCAGGGGGTTAGTTATGAATCGGGTGAGGGCCTTGACAACCATTCGGCATCTGAGAGTGTCGCTTATCCAAGCAGGAGGATTACCATGGGCTCGATACCCTTGTCACGTCGACGCCGTGTCGAATGATGCACCCCCCCCAAGAAGACATGGGGGGGGCGGAAAAGCACAAAGGGGTCAAAGCCGATGGCAGTCGTCAGCATCTCGAATTGCGACGGCGAGGCTGCCGGCAGTGGCCGTGGATGCTCTGGCATCCATGGTCGAGGATGATGCAAGCCTGGATCCCTTTGCGCTAGTTGCAGACGAGTTGGACCTGCTGGCAAATCGTATGCGCTCGATGGTGAGAGCGGAAGTTCCGAAATTGGCGACAGCGGCTGAGTATTTCTTTAGGCTCGGCGCTGAGGGGAAACGGTTCCGCCCGACGGTGCTCTTGCTTATGGCTTCGTCACTTAGCAGTGTGGAGCCATTTGCGTGTCCAGGCACGTCGTGCACAGGAAGAGATTTGTCGGCGCTTGGTACGTCCTCTTCTTCTATGCCATCCTCCCCATCATCACCTCCGTGGTCATCGTCGTCGTCATTATCATCTTTATCATCCGATTCCTCTTCTTCTCCTATCGCTGACGAGAGACGAAGTAGGCAGCAAAGACTCGCAGAGATCACAGAGATGATCCACGTGGCAAGTCTTTTGCACGACGACGTTCTTGACCATGCGAGCACGAGAAGGGGTGTGGGCTCCCTGAACTACGTGATGGGCAACAAACTGGCCGTCTTGGCCGGCGATTTCCTCCTTGCACGTGCCTCCTCGGCATTAGCGTCTCTGAGGAACGTGGAGGTGATCGAATTGTTGTCCCAAGTTCTAGAGCACCTTGTAACTGGGGAGACGATGCAGATGACTGCCGACTCGCGAGAGTGTAGCAGCATGGACAACTACATGAAGAAAACGTTTTTCAAAACGGCGTCCTTGATCGCCAACAGCTGCAAGGCGATCGCGATTTTAGGTGAACAGCCGGCTCCCGTCGCAGCGCTTGCCTACGAGTATGGGCGCCACCTCGGGCTCGCCTTCCAGGTAGTCGATGATGTGTTGGACTTCACGGGCTCGAGCATGACGCTTGGAAAGCCAGCACTCAACGATCTCAGTCAGGGTATTGCAACGGCGCCTGTGTTGTTCGCAGCGGAGGAATTTACTGGTATGTATGATCTAATCTGGAGGAAGTTCAAGCGAGAAGGAGATGTGGAGCAGGCGCTCAAATGGGTTCAACAGAGCAATGGCATCGAGAGGGCAAAACAGTTAGCATTGCAGCATTCGTTAGCGGCTATTGCTGCTCTTGAACAGCTGCCGCAGTCGGACGTAGAGCATGTCTTGATATCAAGACGAGCTTTGTCCATGCTGGCTCGGCATGTGTTAACAAGGTCCAAGTAGTTTTTCGCTCGCTTGCCAACGGCAACATGCATGCATGCATGCATGCATGGTTAAGAGGTGGGGAGGGAGGCTGCTGGGGATGATGTATGTATGGAATTGCGGCGGGCCTCCTGTTGTTTTAAAAAAGGGCGACGATGAATCCAGTTGGGAAGCAGGGGACTCGGTCGGCCACTTGCTGTCTATCAAGACGAGCTTTATCCATGCTGGCTCGGCAAGGTCCAAGTAGTTTTTCTTGCCCTTGTGAAGGGCAACATGCATGCATCATGGTTAAGAGGTGGGGAAGGAGGCTGGGGATGATGTATGTATGGAATTGCGGCGGGCCTCCTGTTGTTTTAAAAAAGGGCGCGGATGAATCCGATTCGGAAACGCAGGATCCGCCCGGACTTGCTTTGCGCTGATGCCTCTCTGCTCTTTTGTCCTGTTAGTGCGATATAAGCCATCCGGTGGCGTCTGACAATGGTGGTGGCTTGTGCAACAAACTGGAGGCTCAATGCTGGGGGAAAGCAGGATCACAAATTGCAGGTCTGGCTCTCGTATTGTTCATCCATCCCTGTTTCACTCACTCTCTGCTGGTGCCGTCTGTGTTGCCCTGTGATCGCCGCCTTCTGCTTCCGGGCGGACATGTTTCCAACTTCGTCTTCTCTTCCTTCTTCACGTGTGTCTTGCAAATTACAAGTGGTCTGTGTTGCCCTGTGATCGCCTCCTTCTGCGTTGGGGCGGACATGTTTCAATTCAACTTCGCCGTCTTCTTTTCCTTCTTCCTGTGTCTTAGAAAGTACAAGTGGACATTTTTTTCTGAATGCTGTTTGGTTATGGGTTTGGTAGCACGAGGCATAGATTGCCATTCTTTGAGGGAAATCCTGCCTGCTGTAGAAGGGGATGCATTGTTTTCCGTGGAGTCCGGGAAAATTATGGAGCTGCTGCTAGTGATGAGCCTCTGTAAGGAAATTGTGGAGAGGCGAACAGAAAAGAAAAGTGTGCGCAATACACAATCTGCGGCATACACCGGGACAGATGTGCTGCCTATTGCTTGCTACCAAGCGTAGATTGTCATTCTTTGAGGGAAATCCTGCCTGCTGTAGAAGGGGGTGCACTGTTTTCCGTGGAGTCCGGGAAAATTATGGAGCTGCTGCTAGTGATGAGCTTCTGTAAGGAAATTGTGGAGAGGCGAACAGAAAAGAAAAGTGTGCGCAATACACAATCTGCGGCATACACCGGGACAGCTGTGCTGCCTATTGCGTAGTCTGTCCAGGTACAGCAGAGGCTTGCATGCAGGTTGCATTTCGGCGAGGACTTTTCCAAGGTAAGTCTTCTTTTTCCATTTGGAGAAGTAATGTGCACTGTGCTAACAGGAAAAGATGAATTGGACATTCGTTAAAATTGGAGCGGTACACACAAAATTCGCATGGGCCTTGTGCAAGGAAGCATGACACGCACACTTTGAGAAATGGTCCGCATATAGAAAAAAGAGGGGAAAAAAAGAAAAAAGACGAATTGGAGAGGTGAGGAGAGCGCTGGACGGGACTAAGGATTTGGGGGTTGAGAGGTGAAGTCCATATGCCAAGCATAGGCCTAAATAACTTCGGCTTAGAGTATACCCACCCCTGGTAAGAGTAAAAATCGAAAATTCTACAACGTATCACATCCGAATATGTCTAATTTTGTTCCCACCCACCGACCACTGGGAAAGGAGTAAGTGTGTCCCTTTTTTTTTGGAAAAAATAAATGTTTACGCTATATTGGCAGAACTGCCATGGGAATGCACCTGGACAGCTCTGCCACTCGTTAAATAATCCACAGAAAGACGGACAGGAGAGGCTTTTACAAGTTTTGTCCTCTTGGTGTGAACTCTTACACGGTTTTTCCTTTTGGAGATGACGCTTGTCGCCCTAACAGGAAGATAAATTGGCAAATTCAACATTGTATCACACTTTAATATCTGTGTTCCTTCCTCCCCCCCCCCCCCCCCCCCCCCCCCCCCCCCTCTTCTTTCCCTAGGTGGGAAGGAGAATGTATTTTTGGTTGGAGAAAAATGGACGTCTATGTCTATGTCTATGTTGTGGTCTTTCAGGGGAATACACCCCACCAAAGCAGCTAGCTTGATGGATTAATTTTAGGGGTAACTTGGGCGCAGTCATGAAAACAGTTTGAAAATGCACTTCAGGCAATCCCGTGAGCACAACACACCCCTACGTGACCACCCCCATGCGACCCCACCGGACCCGAAACTTAGGTTATATACATTCACCATTACCAGCCTTTTTGCCTCGAGTGCATTTTCAAACCCAAACCCTGACTGCGCTGTAGTTTTCTCTTAGTTTTATTATTATTAGGTTCTTGGATGGCAATTGGAGCTGTTTTTGTAGGCAAATTAACCCCTAGAGAACCGGGAAAATCTTTACATCTTCCCGAAGGAAGATTGATTGCATGCGATATTTGGAATTAAAGCTTCTACTAGTTCCTTTGAAATTTGCTTAAAAGTAGCTCCAGGTGCAGAAGGAAGGACAGAGAAAGTATTTGGTTGGCCTAAAATGGATGTCTGTGTTGTGAAGTCTGCCATCGGAGTGCATCCCACCCGGGCAGCTCTGCAACCCATTGCGTAATCCATCCAATCTAACACCATCCAACGGCCAACGGACAGCGGAGGCTTGCAAGTTGCATTTTGGAGGTGGGGACCTTTTCAAGGTTTGTTGTCCTTGGGAGCAGTGATGTTCGTTCGCCCTTGCAAGATGTGAAACGGTGAAACTTCTTTTTTTTCCCCTTTTCTTAGATATGAACTGGAAAACTCGACATTTGATCAAATTGAAACTTCTGTTTTTTTTTTTTCTTCCTCCTTTGTTACACCACCAGTACACCCGGGGCTGGAGGGCCCTTACTGCGCATCAAGTTTTTCCGAACTGTTGGCGGCGCACTTTCTTTTTTGGCTTTAGCTATTGTGGTCTGGTAGGCCGAGTCTCCAGAAATTTATATAGGTGACGAGTTGCTTTGTTTTGTTTTTTTTTTTTTTTTTTTTTTTTTTTTTTTTTTTTTGAAACTATGCTCTTCTCTCAATTTTTCCTCACACTACCTACCTACCACTACTCCTATCTATAGGCATACGGGGAAAGGCTGCGGCCATGTACTGCACAATGAATGTCTATGTCTGTGTGTCTCTGTCTATGTTGTGATATCTGTCGTTAGCGATGGTGAGTTCCTTTCGACAAATCTTCTATGCTATGGATCCCCTGAAAGCTGGTACCGATGATATCTGTCGTTAGCGATGGTGAGTTCCTCTTCTCTGCAGAGGGTGGGTCTTTTTCCCATGAAAGCTGGTACCGATGATTTATGCTGCTGGTTGCAAGATGGACGGCTGCTTACACAACCCCTCGCTGGAGCTATATCATGCAAGAGAGGGAAAGTGTCCCTCCTGCAGATATATGATTGGTAACCACTTGCTGCTCAACTACAGAGATATGGTGAACTCTCTTGCGCTGGACAAGTCTGCTTTTTTTAGCTCGATAATATATGAATTCATATCATGATAATAAATAACAATGATAATTTAAAAAAAGGATATTCGTTTTGGCTGATAGACAGCTGGGGCGACTTTCCTCGTCCGGTATTCCAGATTTGGAAATACTAGCTTGTTGAGTTGTACTTGACACGCAAACATCATCTCGCTGGTCCTTCGTCAGCAATTTGTTTCGGCTTCCGCACGCCTGGGGGACAACTCGCTCTTTCAGGAATCGTCGGCGGGCAAGCTGCTCCATACCAAGAAAGGATTCGTAGCGATTTTTAATTCACTCCCCCAGTCATGGTACTACTGCAGACTCGTGCTCTGCAAATAATCTGTTGAGTGATAACGAGGTGGAGGGCTGACTCGGGTAGCAGAAGCTTGGTTAGGGAATAGCCAAGGAACTTTTTTATGATATGCTTTTTCCAGGCCTACGGGGGTCACTTCACTGTGCAAATCCTAAAATATCTGGATTCTGGACTGCTTTTCAATCCATGTGCAGTCGGACTGACCTGATGTCTTGAGTGTATCTGGACAATGTCCAATGTCAGATGCATTTAGAATGTCGTTTGGTGGACGGAGGCCCTATTCCCTTTATCAATTGATCAATGGGCCCTGTATGCCCTGGTGCAGTGCATGCATTGCTGTCAGGGTCCTTAGTTGGTCATTATACGTGTAGCCGTTGGTAGGTGCACTATGTGGCGTTTGTTTGTTCGGTGTGGATTATCCACTTTATAGCCAAGCCCGTTATCAAAATCACCCCTGTTCTTACTTGGACCCCTTTTTCTGTTCAGTGTTGTCTTTTTTGCCTCTGTTGTTTTTCTTCTTATGAGCAACACACCAAGGTGACAAATGTGATGCACAAGCAGGTGGATAACTCGGGAGACAAATAGGCGGGCATATGGAGCTTGTCCTACACTTTGCCGATCTTAAAACACCAGTACTTGGCCCATATATGGGCCGCGGGCCTTCCCCGCTAAAGTGCCGCAGTTTTCGGGGCTCGGGGAAGGCCCGGCAGTGCGATGGAGGAGGACGTGCGTGGGCCCACAAAAATGGGGCGAATGGACTGTAAGATGTCCTGGCGCTGTGCTATGTGGAAACGTTCGGAGGCTGAAGGCAACGAGGGGGAAAAGAGAAGAAAAGGAAGTGCAACACGAGAAGGGAAAAAAAAAACAGATTGCTGCTTCTTCCTTTTTTTTTTTTTTTGGGAAGAAAACTGGTTTTTCACGAGTGCCCGCCAGCCCTGTAAGGTTAGCACCCTTTAGAATGTATCGGGCTGTACTTGTGGGCACAGTGGATGAATCTGAGGGCTTCGCATCTCTTTTGCCCTTTGATTTTTTGTTTTTTTGTTTTTTTTTGGAAGCAGTATCTCGGCTGTTAGTTTTTCTGCTCCCCGTGAGACACGGGGAGCATTCAATGCTTGCATTCAATGCTTGCCAACGGTTCCAAGTCCACAGCTTCACTGTGACATAGCACTTTCCAGAATGTATCTGGCTGCACTTCGGTGCAGCAGAGGATGTATTTGAGGGCATTCACGTTCAGAGCTTGGTACCTCTTCTCCCCTTTTGTTTTTTTTTGTTTTTTTTTGTTTTCTGTTTTTTTTGTTTTCTGTTTTTTTTTCTGTTTTCTGTCTTTTTTGTTTTCTGTTTGTTTTTGTCTTTTTGGAAGCAGTATCACGGCTGTTTGTGCTTCTGCTCCCCGTGAGAGACGGGGAGCATTCAATGCGTGCCAACCGTTTCAATTCCAGGGCTTCACTTGACGTAGCACTTTCCAGAATGTATCTGGCTGCACTTCGCTGCAGCAGTGGATGTGTCTCAGGGCAATCCCGTTCAGAGCTTGGTACCTTTTTTCCCCTTTGTTTTTTTTTTTGTTTTTTTTTTCCTTTTGAAGATTCTCGGCTGTTTGTGCTTCTGCTCCCTGCCAGAGGCGGGGAGCATTCAACGAGATCTTTCCAGATGGATCTGGATGCACTTCTGCCCAGGCCAATTTCATGTACACGAGTGGAAACAAGAAAACTATAGTCGCTTTACATTCCAGCTGCTGGCAGCTGGTCCAGAATAAGGGCGGTACCTGTGCCAAGCATCAAATGGCCCATGTTGGTTCCCGCCCTCGGCAGGCTCGGCAAAAATCGGCGTGCAGGGCATATTCATGCTTGGCTTCAATAGCTGGGCCAAGTACTGGTGGTTTAAAACACCAGTTCGCCCGCTGCCAAGTGGGGCCCTTAGCGGTTTACACGGTAAGGCCAGACGCTTCGGGCCCGGGCTTGTACTGAACACGGAAGGCCATGACAAAAAAAATGCAGTTGGAGGCTTGTGTGCCTTTTGTTATTTTAAACCACCACTTCCCCCGCCTTGAAAAAAAATGCGGGGACCGGTTTTTCGAATCGGCGTTTCGACTATAGATCGTTCTCCGTTGGTGACTGTCCCTTTTTTTTTTTAATTCAATGTATGGCATTGCTTCTTACCCAACGAGCTCCGTTGTGGTGGAAGTTTCATTCTCATTATGCACATTTTGGCGAGTAGTGGAGCGAGGCTCATACTTCTACTTGATCGTTTTCAGGCCTCCCTCCACTACTCAATATACATATGAAATGCGAATGAATCTCCCTTAGACAGGGTGCATCTCCAATTTGTTTAATTTTATTTTTTGTGCAAGTCGTAGTGGACCCACAGGCTTCATCTGGGCCTGTGCCGTCCACGTCCGCATAGGGGCCTGCGCCACTACTCACCCAATATGTGAATCCGAATGAATGTGTTCCGCTGGAACATGGATGGGATACACCACCCTATTTTTACGCAAGTGGTGAGTAGTGGACCGAGCGGCTTCGTCTGACACAGGTCCTGCACAGTCGGCGTCGACATAGGGCCTCGCTCCACTGCTCACCACATGCACAAAAGATAAAATATTGCAGAGTATCTTCCCATGATCTTGCCAGAGATTCATTCTCATTTGCACATTTGGTGAGGAGTGGAGCGAGGCCCATGTACAGATGCGTGCACAAAAGACAAAATATGAGTGGAGCGAGGCCCGTGTACGGACGCATGCACAAAAAACAAAATACGGCAGAGTATTTTTCCATGTTTTCGCCAAAGATTCATTCTCATTTGCACATTTGGTGAGGAGTGGAGCAAGACCCATCTACGGATGGATGTGCTGCATTCTCATTTGCATTTGTGGTGAGTGCAGCGAGGCCGATGTACGAACGGTTGTGCTGCATCACGTTTGGAAATCTTGTTGATTTCCATTCGCGAGCGTAGCTGCTGTCTTGTTGATTTTCATTGGCACACGCAGCCAAAATCTCCACCTTGAAAAACAGTGCACAGTGCAACAGTGCCACCAATCACTGCATGTGAGGAAAAAGTCCCACCGCCTCGTCACAAACCTCCCCCAATGAGGGGCCCTGACTCACCAGGAAGGCACCTCTTG